CTTCCTCTGCTTTCCAAGCAGACTGGATTTTGGATCTACTGCTTTTTATTATTATTACTATTATTATTTATATATATATATATTGTTTTTGTAACCTTTTTCTGGTCTTTGAAACTATGGCACATCAGTTTGTCTTTCTAAGTTTGTCTCTGCTCTCTCTCTCTCTCTCGGTGTTTCTCTCTCTTCTCTCTCATTCTGCTTTCCATTTAGGCTAATTTTGGGAAAGGAGGGGTGCTAACGAGCAAAATTACCCCACCAGCAGTTCCCCATTTATCTTCCTGCAGCTCTTTTGTCTCACTAGCCCTTCAGTAGTATGTTGTGTTTTTTCCTGCTCTTAATTAGATTGGAGTAATTAGAGTAGGCAGGGCCGTAGGAGTGAACAGGCCATTAAACAGAGACAACACCAGAAGGGCTCCTTAAAAACCCTCGTGGAAGAAATTACTGTAACAGCAAACATTTAAGGCAGTAGGATGAAGAAATCACTCCAACTAATTGTTTATTTGGGAAAAACTTTTTAAATTGAGCCACAAAAATGTTTTCTATCCCGAAGTGCTGCCCATCAGACACTGCCTGGGCGTAAGCACAGTGGAAAGGTGGATATACTTGGAGCCAAAGTTATGGAGCAGCCCCAGTTTAGGCCATGCAGCCCTCCCCAAAACCTGGAGATTTGTATTTTTAGGATGATTCTTTGGCAGCTTCTAACACTGAACCTCCCAGTTTCAGAGGGAAAGGCTGATTATAACCATCTAACACTGGTGTAATTGAGAATCCATCCAAATCAACAGGGTTTTTTTCACTGTTTCCATCATTCCACCACCACCAAATCCAATCCCTGCACCCAACTGTGGTTGGTTCAATGGATCCAAATCCCAACAGCTCCTCCTGTGCTGTGTTTTTGAGCTGTGACCACATAAAAGCGGGATTTTTTTTTTAAAGAGGCTCAAGCTAAACCCAAACCTGGGTCTACCTTTATGCAGCAGCAAGAATTCAGATATTTAGCTCCCTAAAAGATTCTCCCTGAGTATGCTGGGGTTTAAAAGAAAAGGAAAATTAAACATAACCTTAAAATTAAGCAGCTGTGGCTTCTCTGTATTTCATCTGATTTGTTTCTGGCCACTGAACTAAGCTCGAGGAACCCAACTAGATCAGGTTCCAGCTCTTTCAGATCAATGAGTAGATAAATAAACATCTGTATGGAGACACCAATTATCCACAGAAATCCAATTATTCAGCACCTGGGAGTTTGCACTGACTTAGAATGGAGCCCTGTCCTGCTGAAACCAGCAGCAGGTGTTTGCAGGTGGGCCCCCACCTCTGCTCTGTGGCACCAGAAACAAAGAGTTCTCCTTATTTCCCCTCCTCAAATTTTGTACAATTAAAAAAAAAAAAAAAAAAAAAAAAAAAAAAAAAAAAAAAAAAAAAAAAAAAAAAAAAAAAAAAAAAAAAAAAAAAAAAGGGAAGAAAAAAAAAGAAAAAGAGGCTAAAAAGATCATGTGTTAAAATAGCCATTTTAAATAAGGCTTTGGGCTGGTTTTCACAGTGTGGTGTCTCTGTTCTAAAGCACCAGAACAAATAGACCCTTCCCCAGCCTCTGACTTTCCCGGTATCTCATTTAATCTGTCTGATTGACAGAACAAATCCACAGAACTTCGGCTACATAGGAATAGTTTCTTGTTAAAAGACTTTTTTAAAAGGCGTCTTTTAATTTTTGCCCACCTACCAAGAAACCTCTGAAAGGAGTCTGTGCCTGACAGAACCACGAGGAGAGATGGGTTCAAGTCAAACACCCCAAACCCAGATTGAGCATCAGATTTCTCTGAGCTTGGAGATGATCACATTCCTTTCACACATCAGCAGAGAGCCCTGAGCTACAGAAATACAAACTTGAGACCAGACCAGGGGTTTTCCCCCAGTGGTGTAAGGCTGCAGTTTGGGCTGCCCCCTTCCTTCCAGCTGATGATGGAACCAACCCCTCGTGGGGAGGCATGACTGGTTTTTGCTCCTTCCCTGCTCCACTTCCACGTGCAGCACATCCCTGCAGCCACACTGGGCCATCAGTCCCTGAGACAGCTGGGTGTGGCTTGTGGCATCCCCTGCCCTCCTCCTGCCAGGTGTCCCCCAACAGGGTCACTCATGTCCTCGCACAGCTCAAGGGAGCCTTGGGGAGGCCAGTGCAGCCCACCCAGAGCCAGCACAGGGACATCAGCGTCAACAGCAGCCAGGGCTTTGTCTCTGCCTTATTTTTCCTCTCTCCCTCTGAACCAAAAGGTTTTTTTTTAAAAAAAAACCTCACTGTCCTGTCCAGCAAAAACTCTTTTGCCCCACAAACCCACCCTTTTTCCTTCCATATATACTTTTCCCAGTGCTCTTCGAAGGCTTTTGTGTGTTTTCCCTCCCTGTCTTCGTGTGTGTTGCCTTCTCAGTACGTGTTTTGGTTGGATTTTGGTTGGATCACCATGGTTTTGGTTGGATTTTCCCCTCTTGGCAGCCTCCTTGGCTACTGTCCTTCCTTTCTGCTGTTTTCTGGCTCCCCTTTCTCAACTGTTCTCCTCGGTCAGCCTGACCAGCCTGTGCAGTTCCGTGTGCTTGGCTTGCTGCTTGCTGGAGGTGCATGCCTGGGATCCTCTGGATGTGCTTCTTGGGCGCCAGGAGAGCTCTATCCTGCACTGGAGTGGGGGGAAAGGTGAAGGAACTCAAGTTTGTTGTGTTCTGTTCCTGGCCACTCACAACCAGAAGGACATCGAGGGGCTGAAACGTGCAGGGAAGGGAAGGGAGTTGGGGAAGGGTCTGGAGCAGCTGAGGGAGCTGGGGAGGCTCAGCCTGGAGAAAAGGAGGCTCAGGGGGGACCTTCTGGCTCTGCAACTCCCTGACAGGAGTGGGGAGCTGGGGGGAAGGTCTTTTTCCAGTTAACAAGGGACAGGAGGAGAGGGAACGGCCTCAAGCTGTGCTGGGGGAGGTTCAGGTTGGACATCAGGAAAAAATTCTTAACCAAAAGGCTTGTGAAGCCCTGGCACAGCTGCCCAGGGCGGTGGTGGTGTCACCATCCCTGGAGGGATTTAAAAGCCATACAGATGTAGATGTGGCACTTGGGGACATGGCTTAGTGGTGGCTTGGCAGTGCTGGGTCCACGGTTGAACTGGATGATCCTACAGCTCTCCACCCTAAAGGATTCTGTAGATTTAAAAGTGTCTTCTACCCAGTCAGATGGAAAGAGGGAAGAAAACTGCTCTAACTTCACTCTGGTGTCTTGAGATTTGCTCATTTGCCCATTTTCAGATGAGGGTGTTCTATCCCCCCTTTTACACTCCTGTCTGAGACTTTGAGGTCTCTTAGGCAGACTCAGCTTGTCAGAGAGAAGGCTCCAGGGGTTTGTGTGCTCTCAGGAGTAGCAGTGAGGGCAGATGGCAGCCAGCTTTGCTGTCACCTGGAGTGACTCCATCCTTGGCACCACAGAGCCTTTTCCTTCTCTTTTGGGAGACTGAAATGCCCACAATGTCGCTAAATCTCTCTGGCCCTGCAGTGCCATCAAGATGACACAGAAAGCAGCGCTGAACAGAAATATCTGCCCCCCTAAGTTCTGTTCACTGACACATTTATCCAACACCAGCAGGAAGAGGGTGAGGAGGCCCTGGCACAGGTTGCCCAGAGAAGCTGTGGCTGCCCCTGGATCCCTGCAAGTGTCCAAGGCCAGGTTGGACGGGGCTTGGAGCAACCTGGAGAAGTGGAAGGCGTCCCTGCCTGTGGCAGGGGGTGGAATGAGATGATCTTTAAGGTCCCTTCCCACCCAAACCACTCTGGGATTCTGTGGGGGGATCTCAGAGCAGGATGTAGCAGGAGGGAAGAAGACCACGAGCAGCCTCTCTGAAGCCAAGAGAAGAGTTAAATGAGAGCAGAATAATTACAACTAGGTCGGGGTGAATTATTCATTGCAAATAATTTATTCACCAAACTCAGCCTCATTTCCCAGAGCAGCTCTCTCACTGTCCCGAATTTATTCATGTCTGGGGATCATTCCCAGAGCAGTTCTATGTCCCAGATGCTGCTCAGGAGCTGCTGATGGGGTGCTCTTAATAATTCAAATCTGTCGGGGTTGCCAGCCAGTTTTCCAGGCATTCCTAGCTCAGTGTTCTCTTCCCGCTGGTGTTGGATAAATATGTCAGTGAATAGAACTTAGGGGGGCAGATATTTCTGTTCAGCGCCGCTTTCTGTGTCAGCAGGAGACCTTTTCCATCCCAGCTTTTAACACCGGGTTGAATTTCCCCTCCCACTTCTCTACCACGTTCCTTACTCGGACGTCGCCCAAGAAGTTTCTGAGCAGAAAATCAGCGGAAAAAAAAAGTGGCATTTGATCGTATCGGTTGACACGAAGGTTTCGGTGCCTCGTTAGCGACGTGTTTGTTTATTGGCAATTAAATCCCACCCGGGAGCCGGGGAGGGGTGTCTGGAGCCTCCTGACCGCGCCGGGAACCCGGCTGGGCTCGGTTACCTCGTTATCAGCACACAGTTAATTAAGGAGGCTCCCGAAACACCATCCCGGCTCCTGCCTCTGGGGCCCTCTCCTGCAGAATTAACGAGCTCGGCGGGGGGGAGGATCCCAAATCCCGCTAATTAAAGCCGAGGGCTGGAGGAGGGTTCCCCACGCGCGGCCGGGAAACCGGAGCGGGGACTCCATCTGCTGCCCTGGGGAGGGAGAGGAGAGGGAAAATGGGCTGGGACCCTCCCAGTTCAGCCCTGACCCCCCCCGAAATCGGCTGGGACACACCCCCGGCACCACCCCCAGAATCAGCTGGGACCCCCAAAATCAGCCCTGATTTCCCCCCACCCCCCGCGAAAATCCCCCTTGCCCTGCAGACCCTCCTGGGACCCTCCTGAACCTCTGGGACCCTTCAAATCGACTGGGACCCCTTCCAAAACCCCCTCATTGCTCCGTGGGACTCCCAAAATCATCTGGGAGCATCCCCCTGATCCTCCAGAATTGTCTGGGAGCCTCCCGACACCACCCCTTACTCTGCAGGACCCCCCGAATCATCTAGCACCCCCAAAATCCTCCTTGCTTTGCCAGACTCCCCCATAATCAGCCTGGGACACGCCCCCGACCCTGCAGGACCCCCAAAATCGGTGCCCCCTTTTTTCCTCCCCCAAAACAGCGCTTTAGGATCCCTCTTTCCCATCCAGGATCCCTTAGGGCTCCCGTTTTTGGGGGTTTTTTTGGTTGGTTGATTTTGGGTTTTTTTGGGTGGACGATTTTTTTGGGTTTTGTTGGTTTTTTTAAGGTTTGTTTTCCTTTGGTTATTTTTGTTGTTGGGATTTTTGGTTGGTTGTTGTTTCATCTTGAATTTTTTTTTATTCAATTTTTTATTATTTTTATTATTATTGTTTTTAAATTACATTTTTGCATCCTATTCCAAAGTGTGAGACATTAGTAAGACACAGCCTGGAAGCACAACTTCAACCAGAAAAAAAACAGCAAAAACTGAGGGAGAAGTTAAATTTTTTTTTTTTTTTAAACTGAGTACAGTCTAAACATCTGGTTCAGTTTTTTTTTTTTTTTTTTAACCATTTTGTTGTCCTTACTGTGTTAACAACATAGGGATTTTTCTCTGCTGGTTAAGGATGAGAATCAAAAGCTCTTGATGAATTTTCCAATGAGAAATTTTGGGTCAAGCAGAAGATTTGAGAAGTTTCCTCACTTCCAGTTGGATTCCAGTTCCTTTATGGGTCCTGTAGGAATGTGAGGGAATTAAAAATACAGGTAAAATTAGCAAGTAGTTTGGAAAGGATGGAAACTTTCTGCTCTGCACAAGGAGATATTTTTATTTATGAGATTGTTTCGTAATAATAGAGGAAAAAAATGAAGATGTTTTCTTGTTTCAGCCTTTCAGCTGCATTTCTGGAATCAGGAAAACACCCCAGGGAATGTTCAGGGATGTTCAGGGACCCAGTCCTTCCTCAGGGGTGGCTGTGCCAATGTCTGGCTGATTCCTTGGCATCCCTGGGTGCCCAGGGGGAGTTTGGGCCAGGGTGTGATCAGGTCTCACCAAACTCCTCCCTCCCCTCCCACCCATCCTGGTGGAATCCAAGATGAATCAATTCCTTTCTGCCCACTGCTTCACCTCCCAGAAATGTCATATATTTATTTAAGCAATGTGTTTTCTCAGCTCACAAGCATCCAAGGATGCGATTTTCCCTGATTTGGGGAGGGATTTTTGCAGCTCAGGCCTGCAGGGCTTGGCTGCAGCAGGTTTTAGGCAATTCTGGCTCATTTTATGGCCTTTTTTGGGGGGTAAAAAACAGGCAGCTGCTCTGCCCTGGGAAGTGTGTAAAAAACCAAAATCCCCCCTGAAAAGCTTTCCCTAAATCCTCTGCTCCTGGTTAAAATTTAGGAGGAAAGGCCTTCATCTGTGTCCTTAGGGAATTTAGTCTGGAAAGTCAGCTGGGGAGACCTGGGATGTCTCAGTCACGGTTTTTGGTACCAGTTTTTGTGAGGATAGAGCTCTCCTGTGGGGAATTATTATTTCTTATCTGCTTGTTCTTCACTTCCATGCATCTTCTCTCTCTCTCCATCCCTTAACTCTCTCCCACTGAAGTGGGATTCAGTGGGACTCTCTGAGTGGTAACTGTGGAGTCTCACTGATGTATTTTTTTGCAACTTTTTGTGTGCTGAGGGCAGGAATGTCAGTTAAAATCCTGTTGCATTGACACAAGTGAACAGAAACCCAGACCTGTGGGGTTGCCAGCATTTGATACTGTCAATGAATTATAAAGGCAGGGAAGTCTTGGCTTTGATTTCCCTGTGTCTGAGGCTTGACAGACATGGAAAATAACCTTGGGCATGGTCAAGGAAGATCTCGGAGAGTCCAGTGGTTTGTCTCAGAGTTTTAGAGACACAAGAGGTTGTTACACTGGTCTCTTGTTCTTCCAGCATGTAATGAGAGCCCAAAATGTGTGAAAAGATAATTAAGGAAGTTTCAGCTCGTCTGGAGCCCATTTCAGCAGCAGAATCTTTGCACTGGACCAGCACCTCTGTCTGCCTGTGGGATCACCAGTGCATGCCCACGTTATCCCCTGGGCTGGCAGAAGGTGCCAGGGCTGGGTCTTCCCTCTCTTAAGGGCACCCAAACACATGGAAGTGTCCAAGGCCAGGGTGGAAAGGGCTCAAAAAACCTGTTCTGGTGGGTGTCCCTGCCCAAGGCAGCGGGGTGGAAGAAGCTGATCTTTAAGGTTTGTCTCAGAGATGAGAATAAAATCATCTTAAAGGTCCTTTCCAAGCCAAAGCAGTCTGTGACTGTGAGGCAGTTCAGTTCATAACCTCTGGGAAGTTGTGTGTCAGAGACTTCTCCAAGCAGGGCTGGAAAGGGTGCCCAAGTCTTGGCTTGGTTTGGGTAAAGTACAGGAGCAAGAATCACAGGGACCACTCTGCCTCTCACCCCACCTGAGACTCCTGCAGGTCCCTGCTCTCCTGAAACAAAGAAAAGGCTTCTGTGCAGAGATAGAAATCAAAACCAGCTTAAGGAGCTCTCAGATGGGGATGAAATTCCCTCCCAGCAAGGGGCCCTGGCCAGGCTGTCCCTGGGTGTTCCAGCTCAGGCAGATCAACCCCCAGTGCCCTCCTTGGTCTCCACATTCCCTTGGGGAGTGGAACCACTGATGTTTGGCTGATGGAGCTCTGCACAAGGAGGTTTCCAAGCAGCTTGTGAGAGCTGAGGAGCTGATAAATCACCAGGTTGCTGAAGGAGAAGAAACCTGTCCCTTAAATGTGTGGCTCAGGGTATCAGCAAGGCTTGGAGAGTCTTTCCCCCTTTCAGCACATCCATGCTCTGCTGCCAGAGGTGTTAATGGAGCCACAGCTTTCCAGAGCAATCCCAGGTACTTCCTTGCTTACCAGAATGATGAATTTGCCCTGTCAGAGTTTGGCCCTGGCTGATGATGGGGAAGGAACAGCTACCAGGTCTGAAAATCTTGGAAGATACTGATCCAGAGGGACTGTTTTGTGTTTGGACTGAGAGAATGCGGTGGCAATCACAGTCTGGTGTTGATCCAACCTCTTCCCTCGTGGGGAAGGTCTGGGCGGGGCTGTGTAGCTCATTGACTGGAAGGGAAGGAGGAGACAAGGATTCCCCCAGTGAAAGGAGGGGAGAACCAGAACTCAGGGGTCTCCAGTGGGAAGGATGTGGACACCTTTACCTTTTAGCAGCCAGTCCCAAGCTGCCCCAGGTGCTTGAGGCACATCACAGGGCTCAGCAGCCTTGGTTCCAAGTGGTGTAGGAAAGAGTGGAGGGGGTGGAATTGTGGTTTATCACTGCTTTGGGTACCAGCCACGTGTCTGGAGCTGCAAATGGCTGTGAGATGGGTTGGGAGCATCCCAGCTGGCTACTTTTGGAGGAACTCCTTGTAGGATTGCAGTGCAGTGCTGGCAACCCCCCTGTTTGACCAGTAGAGCCAATGTGGTGTCTCAGACCTGCTCCTGGAAAAGGAGCTGAGATCTGGAAGCTGATTTTCAGTGCACAAAAAGTTCCCACGTGTTTCAATCCGGGTATTTGAAGAGCTCACAGAGGGGAGGGGAGGGGGGGGGGAGGGGGAGGAATCCTGAGCCACCCTCACAGCGAGTGTTTCCCTCCCCAGCGCCTGGTGAGGATGAACATGCCGATCTCCCCCGAGGATCTGACTGTCCACTTCACATCCACGCTGATGGCCCTGATCAGAACGGCCCTGGAGATCAAACTGGCCTCAGGTGAGAGGCAGGGGGTGTCTGAGGGGGTGGCACAGTCACCTGGAGGGCACAGCAAAGGAAACAAAGGGCAGTTCAGCTCCTTGGCACCCTCTGTGCTGCCGTGCCGTGGTCACACAGGGATCAGGGATGCTGAGGCCACCTCTAGGCTTGGACTTCGTTATGGCACACTAGATTTCTTGTACATGGAAAAAAAACCCCAACCAAACCCAGTGCCCTGAGAGGCCTCTTCCAGGGCTTTTCCATGGCTCTGCCAGCTTCCAGCCTGTGTTTTCAGGATGAGAGCAGTTTGTACCATCTGAGCTCTGGAAAAGCAGGAGAAGACAATTAACAGTTTGTTGAGAGCACACGTGGCTCGACCCCCAACCCATCTGCTTGGCTTGGTGTCCTCTCCAAACCACAGGAATTCTGCTGCAGGTGGAAATCCTCTTTTCCTGTTGCCAGCACCCAAGGGAGCTTTGGGGTAGGGACAGAGGGATCCTCTGCCTTTGGGGTGGCTGTAATCCTGGGATGGAGATTTTTGGCAGTCCCAGAGGAGAGCTCTCAAAGGAGAAGAATCCTTGTGTGTGCTCACTGCTGGTTAACAGAAATGAGAGTTTCCACAGCCTTCAACTATTCCAGCATGGGGGAGAACCAGCCCTGCCTTCCCAATTGCTCTCTGCTGGCAGCCAGGCACTGACTCCCAAGTGCCCTGAACCGCATTCTGCCTTGAGATAAAATTATTTAAGTGTTTAATCAGGCGTTTACTTGACTTCCCAATTAAACTTTGTAATGTAATGAAACACACTGGCCTTTTCCTCCGGGTCACTACAGCATTTAATCAGCCTGGCTGGGGTCAGCATCGAGGCATGCCTGGCCACAGCACTTTTATGCCTAATTTCAAAGTTAACAGGAGGTAACAATGCTCTTATGAGCACCAGGGCAAGGCAGGGTTGGGTTTTGTGCTTTCCTAAGCAGTTTTAGGCCAGCACTGCAGCCTCTCTGTGTTAATCACCTCCCTCACGTGTTGCTTCAGCTTGGATGCTCTGGCCTGGCACTGCTGGAAGGAGACAAACTTTTGAGGTCAGTGGGGCTCCCTAAGGGAATGAAACTCAGGGAGTGACACTGAGCATCAGGCACTCATTTCTAAGGATGATTTTAAGATTTCCTGGGACTTTAAGGGCCAGCACCTTATTTCAGGAATGACTTCTAGATAAGGATGCTGAGAGTTTGTGATATTTTTGGCTTCTAGTTACCTCAGTGGTAATCAAACAGCCTTTTTCACCTGGAAAAAGCTCCCCCCCTCCTCTTTTTTGGCTCTACCCTGGAAGGAACCAGAGAAGAGAGCTCAGCTGATAGCCCTGGATTCTTTCTCTGCTTTCTCCCTGCCATGGGGTATGAGGTTTTGACCTGTTGTGTTGTTATGAGCTCGTTTGAATAGGTTTCATGTGCTGCATTTAATTGAGTCTTTAGTAGGACTAACAGGCCCTTAATAAACCCTCCCTAATGAGCTGCTGTGTGGGAGTTCAAACCACCCTGTAACAGAGTACCCAGAGCCTCCTCCCGGTACTTTTCTCTCTTAGAAAAATAATCTCTGTCATTCAGATGAACTGTTTAATTGCCTCCTGTGCAGAGCATTCAGCTGGGAGCTGCCCTGTTGGCTCACACAGCCCTTTAATCACTTCCCACTGCTGCATGAAGGCCTCACTTTGGCCCTTTGAGCAGCTCTGGAGCTGCTGGTGCAGAACAACCTGCTCGTGTCTCGCCGCCGAAGATTTTGGGAAGGGTTGGTGGCAGGGAGAGTTTCTAACCCCTCGTGGCATTGCTCAGTGGAAGGTGTCCCTGCCCACGGAACTGGGGCATCTCTAAGGTCCTTTCCAACCCAAATCATTCCATGGTTCATGTCCAAAGGCCAAGTCCTTTGCATCCCACCTGGAAGGTGCTGCTGCTTCCTGGGGGTGCTTCCCATCTCCCTAAAGGAGGAGGCACCTGCAGTCAGGTGGGAGCAAGACTGAGCTTAAGTTTAAGCCCCAGGTAAGAGCAGAGGGTCAGCAGGTTGAGGTGATGATGGTCCTGCCAAATTCATGCACTTCTTTGATGGAGGAAGCCACTGATTCCCATCTCAACATCTGCTGCAGCTGTGCTGGTTCGCCCTCCTCAAAGAGTGGAAGGATGAGGATGAAAATGCTGCCAGGACAAGGGTTTTCACTCTCCTCCCTGTGCTTCTCCCCTCCCTCTCTGCAGGTGGAGTTAAACAGCACCAGTGTGATGCTGAGCTGAGAAAGGAGATCTCCCTGGTTTGGCCCAACCTGTCCCAGAAGACTCTGGATCTGCTGGTGCCTCCTCACAAACGTAAGTGGTTCAGCAGCAAGCACTGGATCCATCCCAGACACTCGAGAGGCCCAGAAAAGGTTTCCCCCTCCTTGCCTGAGCTGTCCCAAGCCCCATCTGGGCACACAGTCATGTGTAATCAGCTCCTTGGCACCCTCTGTGCTGCCATGCCGTGGTCACACAGGGATTAGGGAAGATGAGGTCACATCTAGGTGTGGACTTTATGATTCTACAGTAGATTTCCTGTGCATAGAGGGGGAAAAAGACCCCAAAACAGTGCCAAGAAGGCCAAGAGTGTGGCCTTCTCTATGGCTTTGCCAGCCTCCAGCCTGTGCCTTGCAGGATGGGAGAGCAGTTTCTCCCATCTGAGCTCCAGAAAAGCAGGAGAAGAAAACTGCAATTTGCTGAGATCTTATGGAATCAGAAGTGAGGTGTTGGAGGCTAAAGGTCCTTGTGTTGGTGATGCCCTGGGAGAATGTGCTGAGAAAATGGAAAGGTTGCCCAGCCAAGGGTTCAGGATTCCTGATTAATGAGGAGCAGTGCAGAGCAATACAGGCACTGTTAATTAAGAGAAATGGGGGAGCTGAGGAGGTGCAAATCAGTGGGTAGTGACTGCTTCAGTCTTTCCCTGCCCTCATCTCTTGGTACCTCTCTAGCTGCTGCCCCAGCTGCCTGCTCCATGGTAAATACTCCAACACTGTGTTGGGAAGGGCTGGTTCTGGGTCTCTGAGGGTGGAAAAAGACATCTGGAAAAATGAAATGCTCTTTATGTTTAGCCCATTTTGCCCAGGTTGACTGTAATTCAAACAAAGAGGAATAAGGCTTTTTTTTTTTTTTTCCTTGATAAAAAGCTGGCTGTGGATCTGGCATGGATTTAGCAGTTCTCTCAGCAATGCTTACAATGCCACAGAGGTTTCTTGCCTGATTTTTGCTACATGATCTCTGTGTTTCATCTCACATGGGAGAAGCAGCAACAGGCAAAGAGCTGAAGAAATCTGTTGTAACCTTTTCCTCGTAATTTTTTTCTTTCCCCCACATTTCTGTGTCTGTTTTGCCTCATTATTCTGATGTTTCCTCTCCCCTCTCTTTGTTTTTCGTACCCATTTGCTGTTACTTCTTGTGCTTTTTGGTTTATCCTGCTCTTCTCATCCTTTGAATGTTTTCATGTTTCAATGTCTCACCTTCCTCTGGCAGCTGATGAAATGACTGTGGGGAAGGTCTACGCAGCCCTGATGATATTTGACTTCTACAAGCAGAATAAGAACAGCAGGGAACAAGTCCAGCCCCCTGGAGGCCTCTGCCAGGTACCCACCAAAAAGGTGTTTCGCTCCATCCTCCCTCTTGGGCAGCCCCTTGTCCAGCGCTGGGCAGTTCTCACCAGCAAGTTTCATCCAGAAAGTCTGGATTCTTCTCCAGGCAGGGTTGGAAAACGTCGTCTCAAAAATCAAAACCTCTCCTGAAAGTCTCTCTCAAAAACTATTAAAAAGAAATCGTTGCAGTCGCCTTTTCTGGTAGATCCAGAAAGGTCTTTTCCAAAAAATGTCAGCTGATGTTTGACAGCCTAAATCCTATTTTCAGAAGTGGTCCAGGGACTGAAGAATGCCAGGAGATTTCTTGGGGGGCGGGGGGGGTGTGTGTCAAAGAATTAGTGAAAGCTGATGGTAGTTTGGCTATAAAACGTTTTAAGTTTCTTTTGAAAATGGGAATTATTCAAAAATCATTTTGGCTCTAATAGATCGTAAGGTTTTTTTGCAGTTTCTTGGAAGTATTTTTGAAAATATTTCCACCCTGAGTTTAGCTCAGTTGGTTAAAACCTGGTGCTGATAATGCTGATAAAGAACATGGGCCATTCACTCAAGAGCTGGACTCGATTATCCTTGGGGGTCCCTTCCAACTCTGAATATCCTGTGATATTTCCACACAAATGGCTTGGGATGGAAACCCCAATGGTTTCCAGGGTGTTGTTTTTAGGATGGTCATCCAGCTGCGCTCCAGCATGGCCTGGAGATCTGTCCTGCACACGGGTGGCTGCAGCAGACCCAGTGTCACAACCTGGACTGCACAGCCCCTCTGCTCCCATCCCTGTGGGAAACCCCGGTCTGGGACAACACTTGGAGAGATGGGGGGACTGCAGCACGACTTGACTTGTGCAAAGCTGAGGGCAGCAGGTCCTTCAGAGCCTCTCCCAGCTGTGGTTGGGCTGGGCTGGGCTTTGTGCTGGGCATCTCCCAGCGTGGCAAAGTGGACTTGTGTTAAAAGCACTTCAGCCCATGCCAGCTCTGCCTCTGACACCCTCCCCTTGTGCTTGGCAGCCTGGCCCAGTGTCCCTGTTCCACCCCTTGAAGGCCACCCTGGAGCAAAGCCAGTCCACAGCGTTCAGCAACGCCAAGGCCTTCCTGCGCCAGAAGAGCTCGGCCTCGCTCAACAACGGGGGTGCACTGTGAGTACCCCCCTGACCCCCCACAAAGCCCTCACGGACAAGGGTGTGTCCATCAGCACCAGTTCAGTGGCTCTGGAGGGGGGAACACCGAGACCAGCAGCCCCTTCACACCGTGGCTGGGGCAGTTCCCCTTGGCGACTCCCAAATTGCCTCCGTCTGCCTCTGCTTCCCGCTGCTGCCTGGGGTGGAACGTGGGGGTCTCCAGACCTTTGTGCTTCCTCAGTGGTCTCCCTTGAATCTTCGTTGCAGAGCTTTCCGTTGGGGGTGGTTGTGAGTGTGAATTCCCTTGCAGGAATTTGGGATCGTTGCAAAACGGCCAAACCAACCCCAATCCACCAGTGAGTTCTTGGTGGGAACAAAGTCATCCCTCAAGCTCTGGGTATTTCGTAACAGCAAGAGCTTCTTTGGACTTGCCATGACAGTCTTTGGGCAAAATAATCCCTCCCCAGACAGCTTTCCAGACAGTTCTAGGAGCAGTGATCCCTAAGGAATTCTCCATTTCCTGCTCTCCAGGTGACTTTCCTCTGGGTCACACTACTCCTGTGGATTTTTAAGGATAGACACCTGAGGTTTAAACATCCCAAACGACCCTGGTGGGGACATTTTGGAAGTGGAACCTCTGGGTTCCACTGCTGAGTGGGTGCCACTGGACTTTGAGGGAATGTCCTTTATTGTGGTGTTTGACCAGTGTCCAACTGTCCTGCTCACAGAACGGGCCTGAGCTCCAAAATTCTTCATTCTTCTTCATCGGGAATTAAGCCACAGAGATTGCTTTTCTCAGTTACTGAAAAAAAAAGAAATAAAAATATGGCTGTTGTGATTTTCTTGTTCTCATGGGATCTTCAGGCTCTACAGGACATGATCCTGGAAAAACCCAGGGGATCTGATGGTTTCACCAGCAGCTCCGCCCGCTCTGCAGCTGGTTTCCCACGTTTGCCACGCTGTGAGTTCAGCAAAATCCTCTTTGCAAAAGAGTTAATGAATGTTTCTGCCTCTTCTCCTTCTGGCAGACCAGCCCCAGAGGGTGGGATCAAAGAGTCCAGTTCCTGGGGGACCCAGCGCACCCAGGACGTGTTTTACGAGACCAGGACACCAGCTTTTGAGCGAGGCCGCTCTGAGGAGATCCCCATCGAACGGGTGAGCAGATGGGGAGGTGCAGGAGATTCCAGAACTGTGTTAGAACTTCAGAAATCTTGGAAAATCTTAAGAAAACCGGGTGAAGAGGGGGTGACGTGCATTAAAGTGGTAGATCTGCCCCTTGAGGCGAGTATTGCTCTTACAACCTCAGATTTGCTTGTGGGGGAAAACCCAAATCCCAAGAGCTCCCACAGCCTGGTAGCTATGATGGGGTCACCCTTTTCATGGAATTCTGTCTTGCTGCAATAGGTTCTCTCTTCCCATTATCTCAGTCCCAGTGTCCCAGCTCGGGTGAGGGGTTTCACAGGTCACACTGGGGCTCGTGGCTGCTGGAGGACCCTGGCCCACTGCTGCCCTTGCTGCAGAAAGCCCAGCAGACAAGAGTAACCTTCTCCACAGCTCTTCATTTCCCCTCTTTCCCATCCCACCATCTCCTCACAATGACATCAAACCTAGCAAAGCACGCTCAGGTGACGGCTTCAAAGCTCAGGTGATGGCTTCAAAGCTGATATTCATGTTCTTGCTACTGAAAACATGTCATGTTTCCATCAGGTGGTAGAAATGAGGGAAATCAGCCCCACAGTTGCCAATGGAGAGCCCCAGCCAGGGCTGGAGAGCCAGGGCCGGGCGGCCTCCATGCCACGCCTGGCTGCCGAAACTCAGGTGAGCAGGGGAGACCTCACTGCTGGAGGGGGTCAGGAACTCAGGGTCTTCTCTCTCTGCTTGTTGTGCTGCTTGTGGATGTTTGTTTTTAGGAGATGCTTGCTGATCTGGAGCCAGGAGACCTTTATTCCAGTGGGTACTGGTGTGCGGTCACAGCGCTGCCCTTGGTTTTACTCACTCCTGGTGGCAGCAAAAAGCAACCCAGAGGGATCCCTCTGGCTGGGGCTGAGGGCTACCCACCCAAGGGAGTCCTCACTGACTGGGGGAAATGCCACTTGCCAGCCTGTGTTCCTGAAAGACATTTATATCCCCCTGCCAGCTGTGTGTCATCATCAGACAGCCCAGCAGGACGTGCTCATGTGCCTTGGCCTTAAAAAAATCAGGAGATGTGCTGTGACTGTCTTAGATGAACGTAGGAGAACAGCAGGGAGCCTGTGCCTGGAATGCTGCACTGGGACACTGAGCATCCTCTCTGGTTTTTCCCCTTCCCACCACACTCAGCACGTGCTGTACCTGTGCAGTGAAACGGTGCTGAGGATTCCCCTTGCGTAGCTTTTCCAAAAGGAAACCCATAGAGTTGACTTCCACAGGAATTTTTGGACACTGCTTAGCGTGTAGGATGTCAGAGACCATTTTTTGGCCATTCCACGTGTTCACTGCTGACTGTTTGTCCCAAATACTCTCCAGCCCCTGTCTTTTCTCCTGTGTGTCAGAACATCTCACCACTCGTGTCGTGTCTCATTCCAAGGGCCTGATCCGTAATCAGGAGGGAGCAGCCTGGGTTTTGGGGGCTGTTCCCATCGCTCTCCATGGGAAGCAGAACATGAAAGAGCTGCTGCAGCCTAAAACTGAAAGCCTGTGCTCTGCACACACAGCAGCAGGTCCAGCACATGGAATCTTTGTGCTCCCAGCAGGGAGCCTGTGCCTGGAATGCTGCTGTTTCATCCTCTTCCCACCATACTCAGCACGTGCTGTACTGGGAGTTTGGCCAGTGAAATGGTGCTGAGGATCTCCTTTGTGTAGCTTTTCCTAAAGAAATCTCATCAGAGAGTTGGCTTTTATAGCAACTTGTGTGTGTAGGGTGTCAGGGACCATTTTTTGGCCATTCCACATGTTCATTGCTGACTGTTCATCCCCAGTGCTGTGCTGCCCCTGTCCTGCCTCCTGTGTGTCATAGCATCTCTCCACTCATGTCGTGTCTCATTCCAAGGGCCTGATTCATAATCAGGAGGGAGCAGCCTGGGTTTTGGGGGCTGTTTCCATTGCTCTCCATGGAGAGAAATGGAAGAATGCAGCATGAAAGAGCTGCTGCAGCCTAAAACTCGAAGCCCGTGCTCTGCACACGCAGCAGCAGCTCCAGCACACGGAATCTTTGTGCCCACGTGCTGGGGCTGGCACAGGCTGCCCCTCAGCAGTGAATTTCCCAGCTGACTGCAGAAGCTGCAGCCTCTGTGGGAGCTGGGATTCGCTGTGTTATCAGGAGCACTGCTCAACATGCTTAATAAAAGCACCAGACCCCGAAGCAAACCCATCCTCCTTCCTTTTCCCCTTTCCCAGAACAAAGTTACCCTTTATTCTACAGCACCAGTAGCATCTTCCTGTGCAGGGGGATGCAGCTGGCAGCAGCAAGGCCAGCAGCACGAGCCTTTCCTTGGGAAACTCCTCTCCATGGGATCAGATTTTGCAGAAGGGAGTGTCCCTGGCAGAAGTGTGGTTTGTGTCCCCCTCAGGTGAAAGTGCTGCCAATCTGGTTGTGAATCAGGCCCGGAATACCAGAGCAGATCTAACCTCATTTAGTAATACATGTGTAAATAATAACGGTCGTGGCTTTGGGCGAATAACTGACGTACTTTCTGTGTGTGTCTCCCCCTTCCCTTCACCCTACCCCCTCCTCACGTGCTGCTCTTCCCCCCCCCCTCCCCAAACTTTGAGTTCTTTCTAACTCTCCTTTGCGACGCTTTCTGTTTCTGGCTGTTTCCCTTTCTGTTTGCCCGCCGTTCCTCTGTCTTTTTACGTCCCCCTTTCAACCAAAAAAAAAAAAAAAAATTTCCCTGCATTTTCAACCTCCCTCCCTGCTGTCCTGCCCCCATCACCCCCTCCTCCCCCTCCCTTGTCGTCATGGTGTCTGCTGCCCATCTGCCGCGATGTCTGACAATGGCTGTACTGTGGGGCTGCTTCAAATAATGTCTCTCATCTTGTCCGAATTGTTTGCAGAGGAGCAAAGCACGGTCGCCCGGGAGTTACCTGGCAGTATGTAGTTCGTACTAAGTTGTATATCCTCCTAAATTCGTGTTAAGAAATGATTAACCTGCCTTCAAACCCTCTTACTTTTTCCCTCCCCCTTCTCATCTGGAGCCCAATGCAGCCGCTCTCTCCTCCCACTCCGCTGTTCCCCCACCCCGATCCACGGCTGCACGTCGCACGCTCTGGTAGCAGGGGGGGCGGGGGGAAGTGTTATTTGGTTGGTTTATTTACTTTATTTGTTTGTTTTGCTCTTCGTTTGATTCCATGTGGTGCCTTGTTGCACATGGGAATTTAGGGAGCAAAACCAACGGGCTTGGTAATGAAGAAGCAATTAGTGACTCTCAGTGTAGTCTCCCAGGGTTTTTTTGGGAGCCTGCACGTGCCCTGTTACCCTAACGAGGGCACTGCCAGGATTTATGGAGAGGGGTTTCATTGCTTTGCCACTTCCCTTAGTGTCAGTGGGGACTTCTGTGGAATAGGCACAGAATTCCAGATTCCCTGGCAGGACCAAACCCAAAGTTCAATTGTCATCAATTTGGCTGCCTTGTTGTTGGGAATTTTCTGTGACCTTCCTCCTGGCAGCTCTTGTATGGATTATGAAAATCTGGAGGAGTGTTTTTGGTAGGAAGGACTTCCACTTGTCCCTTTTTTGCCCATCAGACCATCCAGTTTACAGACCTCCCTGTCTTCCTCCAGCTTCATGCTCAGCAGGACAAACATGAAGCTCCTCAGTATAATTTAATGCCCACACAATGAGGGCCACAAGAGGTGACAAAAGCAACTGCCCTTCAGTGGGAAGCACCAAAATTTGGGTAACTGCCCAGATTGCACCTTTACAGCCAGGATAATCTTACTGTGATGGGAGAGAGAGGGAGGCTCTTTCCACTCAAAATAAGAAGCAGAACTGTGAAACAACTGGCTTGGCACTGGGTAAATATCACAGGATATTCAGAGATCTGGATTTCAGGATAAGCAAACAAAACAGAACAGACAGTAAAAATAATACAGGGCTCTTTGGAAAAGGTTACAGTGAGCAAAGTAAACGTTCTGTGAGGACTGTTGGTGGAGGCACTTATTGGATTGTGAGTTCAAACAAGTGTGAGGCTGAGGGAGCAGAGAACATCCTGATCTGCTTCCCTCTCAGACTGGACCACGGTGCTCTGAGGTCTCTCCTCAGACCCAGGGAAGCCTCCAGAGGGTGGATGAAGCGCTGTCTCCACACAGAGCCAGCAGAGAAGGAGGCATGGGAATTGTCCTGTTTTTCTGAGCTTTCTCCCTGGTAACTGGGCAGTAGGGAAGGCTGTGGGAATATCTGTCCTGCAGCCTTGTCTTGGGTCCTGCAGAGCATCTTTGTAAGGCTTTGAACCCACAGGGAAGGGAGCAGAGTGTGGAGCTGCCCCTAGCACAGGTCCAGCAGTGCCATGGAAGGCAGGTTACTGTGCTCAGTGTCCAGGTGTTTGGCCACAAATGATTGGAAAATGGGAATACCAAACCCAAGTAGTCATTTCTGGAGCTGTCCTGGTTAGAATTGCAGGACATACACACTACCCTGCTTGTCCCAGCCACAAGGAGTGATGGTGGGAGAAGTTTAAATCTTTGATGGGATTGTCTTCACCTGCAGCGAGGTAGAATTAACTTCTCAGTGGCTTGGCCTGTCCCTTGCCCACTTATCCCTGATTTTTCTCCCTCTCCATGTGATGCTCAGCAACGCTTTCGTGCTTTCCTCCCTTGAGTTGCTTTGGGATGGCCCCAAAGGCCCTGAAGCAGCTTTGGGTGAAACTGGTCTCGGAGGATTTATCTCTGTGAGGCGCTTGGCTCCTGCACTGCCCTCCCGTGTCCCTGCTGCCCTCCCGGTGATCCTGTGCCGCTGTGTGTGGTGTGAAGTGCTGCCTATGGCTCGTGGTACCCGTGGGTTGGCACTCTGCTAAAAGTAAAGCCCATCTCAGCCAGCAGGGATCACACCTGCCCCTCAGTGCAGCGCTCATCCCACAAGTCCTCCCTCCCACCCGCTGTTCCCGTTGTATCCGGGTTAACCATTTTTTCTCCTCGCCCCTCTCTCTTGCTGCCCCTCCCCACGGTGGGCACCAGGCAGTGGAGCAGGTGCAGCCCTGCCCTCACCCTGCCCCGTGTGCCTCCCTGTGCCTTGCAGCCCATCCCGGACACGAGCCCCATGAAGCGCTCCGTGTCCACGCTGACCCCGCAGCGCCCTCACGCCATGCACCTCTACGAGTACTCCCTGGAGAGGATGCCCCCGGAGCAGGGGCACCACCACCACCACCACCGCTGCCACCGGAGGAAAGAGAAGAAGCAGAAGTCCCTGGACAGGGCCGCCCATCACTTGGCTGATGGACAGGCTGGTGAGTGTCACCCGGCTTTGCACGTGATCCCGTGTGCCTTGTTGCATGTGGGGATTTAGGGGTTGAAACCGATGGGTTTGGTAATGAAGAAGCAATTAATGAAGTCTCCCGAGGTTTTTTTGGGAGCCTGTTACCTTAACAAGGGCGTTGCCAGGATTTATGGAGAGGGGATTTGTTGCTTTGCCACTTCCCTTAGTGTCAGTGGGGACTTCTGTCCCTGGAATAAGGCAGAGACAGGATCAAACCCAAAGAGAACTGTTCGTTTTTCATCAATTAACCCAAAGAGAAAATGTTCAGTTGTCATTAGTTTGGCTGCCTTGTTGTTGGGAATTTTCTGTGACCTTCCTTCTGGCAGCTCTTATATGGATTTTAAAAGTCTGGAGAAGTGTTTTCAGTGGGAAGGGCTTGATACTTTTTTTTGCCCATCCAGTTTACAGACCTCCCTGCCTCCCTCCGGCTTCAGGCTCAGCAGGACACACATGGAGCTGCTCAGTATAATTTACTGCCCACACAGTGAGGGCCACAAGAGATAACAAAAGCAGCACAACAGGGTCCTGTTGATGGGAGTGGTGCAGCCCCCAGGGATGCAGCAGTGCCTGAGGTCACACCTCACTGGGGTCTGCAGCTTCCTTATGGGGGACAGCTCTGATCTCTGCTCTGGGTGAGCAGGGACAGGACCCAGGGAACGGCTGGAGCTGTGTCAGGGCAGGGTCAGGCTGGATCTCAGGGAAAGGTTCTTCCCCCAGAGGGTAGTTGGGCACTGAACAGGCTCCCCAGGGACAGGGTGAGATTGCTGGAGCATCTTTTGCCTGGCCAAGAGTTGGATGAGACGATCCTCGTGGATCCCTTCCAGCTCAGGATCTTATTGTTCCAAACTGGAGGCTCTGCTGGGCTCCCCCACCCCATCCTCATGCCTCTGACAAGCTTTCCAGCTTCACCACTAGCATGAAACTCCTCAACACAGCGAGGGCCACTTGTCCTCCTCCCTGCACTGGCCGGCAGGTGGGATTTGGGATCCTCCCTGCTGCACACACCTGGGAGCCCCTCCTGCCTTGGTGACCCCTAACCAGCGTTCTTCTTTCAGCAGCCCAGGCTGGTGAGTCTTCTGCCAAGGACAAGAAGGAGCGGGGGCGGTCCCAGGAGAGGAAGCAGCACTCCTCCTCCTCCTCCGAGAAGCAGCGCTTCTACTCCTGCGACCGCTACGGCAGCCGGGAGCGCTCCCAGCCCAAGTCTGCTGAGCAGAGCAGGCCCACCTCCCCCAACGGGGGGCCAGAGCAAGGTCCACACAGACAGGTGAGGAGAGGCAGGGTGGGACAACAGCCCTGAGAGTCTTCCTTGCCCCGTGTTTTGCTTAAATGAACGGAGATGGAACGGGGAGGGAGGGCCAGGCAGGGGCAGATTGAGGTCTCCACTGGGGTCCTGCTTGGTGCTTCCCACCTAAAACAGGCATGGAAATGTCGCTTGATGGCTTTTGAGCAGCCACCTGCAGAGGGAGGGACGTGAGGCGCCTCAGAGACAGAACCACAGAATGTGCCGAGGTGGAAGGGACCCAAAATATTCTCGAGTCCAACTCTTGGCCCTGCACTGGACCATCCCCAAGAGGCACACCATGTGCCCAAAGCCCCACTGCCAGGAGCAGTGATTGCTAGTGGTTTCAGCCACTTGCTACTGGTTTCAACACAGCAGCCTTGGGGACCCCACAACTGGCAGCTCTTGTCTTAGAACTGTTTCAGGAGGAAGTAATTTGTTGGACGTTGTGAACAAAGAACTCGCCATTTTTTTACTATTGAGGCCATTTCCTGGATAAAAAAAGAGTTTGAAAATACCTTAAAAAAACTTTAGGCATCTCAGTACTTATCAAAGCAATGTAGAATCACAGATCATTAAAGCTGGAAAAGCCCTCCCAGACCATCCAATCCAAGCTGTGCCCAACGCCCACCTTGACCCCCAGCCCAGAGCACTGAGGGCCAGGTCCTGTCCTTCCTTGGACACCTCCAGGGGTGGGGACTCCACCACCACCTCCCTGGGCAGCCCCTGCCAACACTTAACAACCCTTTCCATGAGGAAATTCCTCCTGATGTCCAACCTGAACCTTCCCTGTCACAACTTGAGGCCATTCCTTCTGCAGAGCCCAACGCCCCTGGGCTCCCTCCTCCTGTCAGGGAGTTGTGAGAGTGAGAAGGTCCCCCCTGAGCCTCCTTTTCTCCAGGCTGAAACTCATTTCCGCTTTTTTTTTGTAATTCTGAGGTTGAAATATGGGGAAAGCAGAGGAGGGAGAGGGTGAAAATGAACAAAGATAAAGGCAAAGACACTGTTTCCATGTTGGGAAGGTGTGAGGGGTTGGCCCAGCAGCATGAACAGCAAATGCCACCCCAGCGCCTGATGCCTGGGGGGAGCAGGGCTGTGGTGTGGTGAGTGATACCACACCCAAACAATGCAGGGGTTGCCTCTTCTTCTCGTGGACCAGACACCAACAGCTCACACAGCCCCCACATCCCACTGGTGAGCCGACAGCCTCCAGCTCTTCTGGATTTGCTGGGAAAACCACATGGGAAAAGCCAGGCAGAGCAGAACAAGCGCTGACTGACAGCCCAGCAAGCAACAACCTGATTGTTTGAGAGGAAGGAAAACTGCTCTTTAAAAATTAAAGGTCTGACCTCAAAATGTTAGGTCACAGAAGGCTGAGGGATTTTTAAAACACTCCCCTGGGGCTGGTCATGTACTGCCCTGGGAGAATGTAAACTGAAATGCCAAAACAAGGGCCTGTTCCTCTCCCTCGTGGTGTTTTTTTTTAAATTACTGCAGCTTAGGTCACTCTCACGTGTCATTATTAGTAACCCAGGAAGCTGCCAGGCTGTTCTACCACTCAGAAATCAAATGTGTAATATAAAAGAGGAGAATGTAACACATTTCTGTTAAAGGAAATTGTTAGTTCCAGCCTGCCCAAAAAAAAGCTTTTTGTTGATTTTTTTTTTTTCCCCAGAAAATGGCTATTTAATCAAAATACATGTGATTTCCAGTGTACAAAAATCCCAGTCCCCCAGATCCTCCTCCCACATTGTCTGGTTCTGACCACAGAAGTAGAACCATAGAGTCCCAAAATGGTTTGGGTTGGAGCTTAAAGCTCATCTGGTTCCACCTGCCTTGCCATGGGAGGGGACACCTCCAACTAGACCAGCCCTTGGGTGAAGTTCTGCTCAAATCCACTCCCAAGCAGACTTGGTTTTGTCTAAAATGCCCCGAACAAAGCAGGTTTTTGAGCTGCTCCTGCCCAGTCCAGGTAAGGCGCATGTGGAGCCCGTGTATGCTGTGGGTCCTTCCCCCCGGACAGTGTCCCCTCCTGTCGGAGCCGTGTCCCAGTTTGCGTCCTACCGATGCTCTGCCCCTCCCTGTCCTTACTCACCCCTCGCAGAACTTTTAACTCTCCAGCTCTTTTACATCTCGTGTTGAATTATTTCTCGAGAACCTCCTCCCCCTGACTGTGCTTGTCTAAACTCTTCTCTTTTTTGCTTCTCTTCCCTCTTGTGACTTGTCTCTCCCTTCTGTTGCTTCTCCTTCTGTTCTCCACCTGCCTGCCTTTGTGTTTGTCCGGTGTTTCCCCTTTTTTATTTTTTGATTTGCTTTGTTCCAATTTTTATGTAGGGCAGTGGTTCAGTTAATGGGAGCCCCTTGCTGTCGACATCTGGTGCTAGTACCCCCTGCCGGGGTCGGAGGCAGCTCCCACAGACTCCACTGACCCCACGCCCCAGCATCACTTACAAGACCGCTAACTCCTCGCCCGTGCACTTCACCACTGTCCAACCCGGCCTCCCCACCTTCTCCCCGGGACGCCTGAGCCGCGGT